TGTTGTTCCACCTCCTGGACATACTACAAATTTGAGGTTTTAAATGTTAAAGTCCTTCATACTCTCTGCTTTTCCCATGCTAAAATTCCTGGATTTCTGCTGCTGATATTTAAAAGACAAGAGCAACTCTGCCTGTAGTGTTTGCCTGTAGTCAGCAGTGACCCGTTTCTGATGCCCAGCCCCATGGGTTTCCTAAGCTTGTTCCTGCTGCCCTTTGCTGCTCCAGTGTCCTGGTGTTACAGTCTTGCTTCCTTATCCTCTAACTTAAGGCCTCCTAAGAAGCTTTGGGCTCATACTAGAGAGGTTGGAATTACCGCTCCAAGTTGTGCTGGATAAGTGTTGTGATGCTTTGTGCTTGTTCTGTTAATCAGTTTAATTGTTAAAAGGTGATCATGGGTGACATAAGGCATTTAAGCTAAAAGGCAAAAAAAATTTAAAATCTTAGATCCCTCTGCAAAGGAGGGGATTCCTTGTTTCCTGTTTGCAATTATCAACTGTCAGGCTCTCCTGAGGTGAAAAAGCTTGGGAAATGTTAGGCAAAAGTATTAGAATGAAAGCGAGGTACTGGGCATTTCTAGTAAATCACTGCATAAATTTAGTGAGAAATCAAGTTTTAGGGTTTAGGGTCAGCTGGTAGCACAGATGACCTCATAAGCCGTATCTGATGCATTAAAAGTTGCAGCACGTTCAGTGACAACTACGTGGCCTTTCAGCGATCAATCTTTGTGCCAGAGTTCCTTCCCTTTTGAAGCCGGGGGTGTTGATTGTGTTATCTTTGGAGCTCTGCACGTGGCTGAGGGAATTGCCTCGTTTGCTGGTTGCATCAGAGACTGGGAATTACTGTGAATTTACCAAGCTTTGCAGGTGGAAGAGCTGGCACTTTGATCTGAGTCTCCCAGGACGTGGAAGATCTGAGTGGCAGAGGTTGAGACTTAGTCTGGTATTGTAAGGCTGTAACTTGGTCATTTGATGGTGCTTGGTGACTTGGGTATGGCTTGACTTCTGTGCACATCTAGAACTGAAGAACTGTTGTGGGATCCACAGACTGCTGCTCCTGATCCCCAGGAGTGTCTGTGTTTGGTTTGGATGTAAAGCAAGAGTTGACACGATCAATTGCTTTCACTTGAGTCACTTCCAAACCAGCTTCATCCAGGGTTACCCTTTGGAAGGAGAAGCATGTACATCTGTCTGTGCCTTGCAGTTTTCCTAAGGTCCTTATTGATTAAACTGAAAAGCCGGGGAAGAGCACAAAGAGGAGTTACTCAGTACAATTTGCTGTTGATTCCTGTCAAATGTTCTCTCTTTCCAAAGCCGAATTGTTTGTTCTTGGCAGTGGGACCCACGACTGCTGCTTTATTGACTCCTTGGATAGACAGCTGGGCGCATGGAGCCTTACTGCAGTAAATGAAAGAAAATGTGAATATAGTGGTATCTGCTTGTGTGTGCTCAAAAATACTTCATTAGCTGTTTATAGATTGTGGCTAGTCTAACATGTCAGTTTTGTGCTATTGAACTGTGCTGTGGGGGCCTTCAAGGGACGTGTGGGCTGTGATTAAGTCTATTGTGCACTTAGAGACTGCCCTGTATTGAATAAGTGCATCTAGATCTTGTCCTCCAATATGGGTAGATGTTACTTTAGCAGAGCTATATTTTGTAATTGTGATGATAAGAGTTGATAATTTCTAATTTATGAACTCAAACATGTGAAAGTTTTTGGAAATGCCACTTTGAGTAGGTTTTTCTTTTCTTTTTTTGACTTGTTTTACTTTTCTGAAAGTATATTTAGGAGGTGAATCTTGAGATTTAGCTTTTGCACTTTTCTTAAAGTATTTCCCATTGCTTTTTTTAATCAGTGTTTTTTACTTCCCTTTTCTGAGATATGCATATTTGGGATATATTGGAGAACTAGAAACAATTACACATTAATTATCCATCCCCCACTTGATGGCTGCAGCGCTTTGTGTGTGTGTTCAGTGGCCCAGGCGATTCCAGCCTCCTCACCCTGCTGGTAGGAATGCACATCAGAAATACCAGATATTGAAAAATGGACAAGGCGGGTGGATGAAGGACCACAGGCAGGACGTGGATGCAGAGGCCGGCCRGCTTTGTGGGAGACTCCGACTTTGTGGGAGCAAATGGGGTGACAGAGGCCTAACAGCCACCTCTCAATGAGCACAGTGAGTTTGGGGTTGTGGGCAGTCTGTGGGATACTCCAGGCCACGTGAGGTTATTTCACTAGGATTTACTCGTATTTCACTGCCTAGGAGCGACTGAGCTGGATTGTGACCTTTGGCTTGGGGGTGCCTGGAGTCCCTGGTGCTTTAATGGGTCTTTAAGTAGGTTTTACAGCAGTCTTGGGAAGAGGAGCCAGGATGCCCAGCAAATGGTTCAGCTGGATGGGTGGAAAGGGGAAAGGAGGAGAAAAAAGAAGGAAAGGAAGATGGAAAAGAAAAGAAGGGAAGAAAAAAGCTTGCTAAGTGGGACTGTGAGGTCAGTCCTCTCCTACGTTCTCCCTGCACCATAAGTGGTTCTGTCATGGAAGCTGCATTGTAGTGATCTGGGCTGTGCTTCCAGAGAAGGACACGTTCCTGAGAGTCCTCACTGCAGAGCATGAGGATCGGGGAGACCGGTCATTCCACAAGCCATCCTGCCCCGGAGCAGCTGCTTGGGATTTATGCCCTGCCATCTCGGGTTCCAAGGGCTCAGCAAGTCCCAGATGTTGGGCTTTGATTCACGTCCCGAGACGGATCTGAAGGGCTGATCCTTATTGCTCGTGTCAGAGGCTCTCGGCGGAGGCTGCCYGGACACGAAGCCCGTTCCCAGCTCGCTGGGGAGCTGCCGTCTCCCTACATGTCAGATCTGGCGCTTGGCTCTCCGCTTTACGACCACTTCCTGTGTTTATAGCTGCAGCTTTTGCTCTTGGCTGGGGACATGGGATTTACTCAGAATCGTGATAATTTTCTGTGAACTTTAAGTAATCTCTGACACAGATGTTTTAGAGGAGGAAAAAGCACCTTTATATTTAATGGCTCCAAAAAGCTGTTAAATAAAGGAAAAATAAGAATAGCATGAATGCAACACAACTTAGATCAGCTGCTTTTAACATGTTGCCTAACATAGTATGAAAGCTATTTCTGAATAAATGGATACTTCTGTGTCACTACATTATTAAATTTCTGGTAGTGCCAGGGCTTTTCTCCGTCATTCTTGCGCAAATAACCCAGGGAGGGCCTGTTCCTGTAAACACAATACATGAAAACAGCTCTCCTACCAGTCTGTAAGTGCTGGGGACAATGAAAACAGCCTGTTCTGCACAAAGACACAAGGAGTTGCAGTGGGATTTGGTTTGCAACCTTAGCAGCCCTTACTCAACATCAGCTGCGGAGCCAGATGTTCCTTCCCTCCGGGGCCATGGGGGAGGCAGCTGGAGCTGGGACTTGCCCAAAGGCCTCCTGCCCTGAGCTGGGCTGGGATGGGGGGTTATTCCAGCTCCCTTCTTCCACACTGTCCATCTCTCTTTGCTCTGCTCTTCTTTCCTCACTGTCATCCGTCTCCTTGGTCGTCCTTTCTGCCTTTCCTTTCAGTTTAGCTTGTTCGCTGTTGCCTTCCCTCACCCCCCTTCACGACTTGACATATTGAGGAAGTTTGTCGTCTTCACTCGTGCTTGCTCTGCTGCCTTTATCTCTCTTCTCCATCTTGTGTCTGGTTTAGATTTTTTTTAAGCTCATAAACCCCTGTGGAAATAGAACTCTTTGCTAGTTAACAAGAAATATATTTTTGAATGTGTTTATCAGATACTGGTGCAATTCTTTAAACAAACTACTTGATCATACTTTAATGTTAATGCCAAAGGAACAAATAGAGACCAGTTGCATTGTGTTTATAAACAAACTAATACAAAATAACAGTCTAAATATTGAGGTATTTATCCTTTCCTCCTTTTGTGTGTGTGTACATATATATTTTGAAATTTCCTCCTATAATACTCCTAGAAAGAAGTTTTAACTCGAGAGATTTAAGGGAAAAGTCACTTACAAGTGGAAAAGAGGAATTAATTTGGCCTGAATTTGTTTGTAGTTTAATGCTAAAGAGCAGACAGAAGTCCAGTGTCCACAATGTGGGAATGTGTTAGGTGTAAGGGCAGGCTGTAGCTGGACGGGAATGCCTGTGAGTATGGAGAGGGCAGTGTGACTGTATTAGCCAAATGTGCAAAAAGCCGGGATTTTCACCCCGAGTGTTTGAGAAGCGCTGGCAGCCGGTTGCAGAACTGTTCTTCAGAAACTGCTTTTGCTGAGTTTGGAGCCTGATCCAGGCTTATTTTTCTGTTCTTGGCTTGAACTCATGTGAACTAGAAAAGAATTAGCAGGAGACGGTAGGGCTGGGGATCAACGCGCTCTCATCTCGGTGGTAAAGCTGGCTTAAGAAATTCCCTAATCACAGTTCCTGGTCATATAGCCCCTGATTTTGAGGGAGAGTGTTTTGTGGGAAGTGCATCTGATCCAGTTTTCCGTAAAGCACTGCAGAAAACTGTCTCTTATTGTTAATCAGAGCACTTCTGGTGAGAGGTTTGGCTCCATGAGAAATTATGCTGAAATAGCTGAAAAGATGAGGTGCCCTGGTGATGGGAGCAAACGATGGGAAAAACAGTCTTTCCACCGGCCCCTTTACAGGGTCAGATCCTACCGCAGGGAAATGGACTTCTCTGTAATGCAGCGTTTGTCGCCAGAAATCAGTCCTTTCGGGTCCCCACGGCAGCGATGTGATGGGCCTGTCTGTGAACACTGTGAAGCGTCGCCCTTGCTCAGCCCACCCGTGCCCGGCTGTCCTGCTAAGTCACTTGACTCGTGGCAAATCCTGTGTTCTTCTTGATCTTATTGCAAGTTTGGCGTTGAACTGTAGGGTGGTGCGGGGAGGAGGGGAGGGCTAGGAGCTCTGAGAGTCCCTGAAAGCATTGCAGAGTTTTACTTGGACACGGTTCCTCTTTTCCTTGATATAAACACTTTCAAACGTATAGGTTATTGAGTTATGTTTCTTTTGTAATCACGTAGCTAATGTGATATACATGAAAGTATGATAAAATGTAATCTGCATTCTCTGTTTCTAAGCTCTTTAATGTACCAGGTTGAGGGGTGGATTGGTTTGTTTTGACAGTCGGGTATCTAGCAGGTCGTCTTCCTGGTCTCCTAAAAGCTGTGTTGCGTTATAGTTGAAGTGAAAGAGATAGGGTGGTGGTGGGGGGTAGATATACACTTTGTTTATTGTCAAATTCAAAAGTATTTTTGTATAAAACTTACAGGAGAACTTTATTTTTTGACAACACAGGGCTGCCTTAGAAGAAGTCGAAGGAGATGTGACAGAACTGGAACTGAAACTCGACAAGGTGAGTGTGCTGCTGCCACGGTGTCCGCTCTGAGGAACAGAGAAAGAAAGGGCCTAGCTTCGTTCTTCCTTTAGCTTAGTTCCCCGATGGGAAGCGGCAGCCTGAGGGTCGTACAGATTCGGCCGAGCAGGTCGCCCTCGAGGCCTCTTTGAGCGAGAGGCCCCGCGAGGGAGCCGCGTGCGAGCCCAGGGCCTGGGTGGCCCCCGGGGCTCCTGGCCCTCCAGCACCTTGATTCCAGTGCCCGAATCCCACTGTCCTTGCTAGTCTGTGGGCATAAATATCCTTTACTTCATCTGGAAGATGGAACTACTGTAAAATTTATCCTGTTTTTTTTTTTCCCCTGTGCATAGCTAGATTATATGTAGTATCTTTTCAGTTCCCTGCAATCTGCTTGTTTGCTTCTGAACCACTAGTATTTGAAGGCTTTTGCTTCTTAGTGTTTTCTATGTCTTTTTTTTTTTTTTTTTTATTCTCTGCATTTTATGGAAAGTTTTAGAAGCTAGTTGTTTTTGCCTCTGTTTTAATGCTATAGGCATATGGCATCAGCTGACCTCCTTAGCTGCATTTTGAGTTTTAACCCTTGTTCTTGCTGCAGAAGCTCTYGAGACAAATGGAATTTCCATGTCAAGTATCGTTTTAAGTCTGTGTGGGTTTTTTTTTTTTTTTTTTTTGTAGCGGAATTTCAGGTTTATGTTTTTAGTAATGTAACTATCCCAAAATTGTCTCTCTGTGGTTTTTTTTTTTTTTTTTTGGGGGGGGGCTAAACTGGATGCATTTTTTCACCCTGAAATAAGGCACACTGGATTCAGGATCATGAACTATAAACACATAACTAGTTATGTTTTAGTTGTTGATGAGATTGCTTGTTACCCTTGTCTAGCTGCATCTCTTGCAATGTTCACCTCATTAACAAACAAACAAAAAATCTTTTATTAAGTAGTTAATTCGTAATGTGATGTCCATGACACACTGCCCTGCCATATGGTAGAAAGCTCTACATAGGACCAGGAGTTCTGTTTATCACCCAGGACTGAACTTTCGAAATCACTTGCTTCTGAAGACATAACTAAGCTCARTATGTTTCGTGGGTATGTAGTGGGTAAAAGGACATAAAACCTTTTATTGTGATTTTATCCTCTTTATTTTTCTAGCTGGTGAAGCTTTGTATTGCAATGATTGATACTGGGAAAGCCTTCTGTACAGCCAACAAGCAGTTCATGAATGGAATTCGAGACCTGGCACAATATTCGAGTAAAGATGCATTGGTTGAGGTATGTTCTTGAACAGTGCAAATAGAAAGAGAAAACCTGAATAAAATGGTGAGATGTAGCACTCGCTAAGAGAAGTAGTTGAAGATGTTTGTGCTATTCTTTTTTGTTTTGTTCTGTTTTCTTTGGTGAGTGCTTTGTTTGCATTGCACGACAGTCCAACCTTCACTTAGGTCAAGGCTGTAATTTGCATTTGCGAGTGTTTTGCAAAGCCCACAAAACCTCTTGGGACGGAAATTGTCATCCTGGGATAGTTGGGGAGAAAAAAAAAATCAGGGTAATGGTTTGTGCCAGTGCTGCTGAGGATTTCCCTAAGTAAAAGGGATCCAGTCGAGATGAACTAAGAGCCCGTTCCCTGAGCTTCCAGGATGCACTATGGCAAATGCACATGAGGTGAGATGGCCCCTGAGGAATCTAGTCCTCTCTGGTATATAAAAAGTGTAATTTTTAGCAAGAAAAAAGCAGTTGTACTCAGCCTGCTTCCATGGCAGCATACGTCAGGTTGATATCATTAGGCTAATTTGGAATAGCTAATTGGGCAAAGCTCAGACTTTGTTCTTTGTGATTTTTATAGAATTATTATTTTTGTGTGATCACACTTAACACTGGATATGTATGATAATTTGAATTGAGGTTTGAAATTGTATTTAGTTTTCAGATATGCTATAATTGTGTATAACATGTACATCATGTAAYCTGTTTATGTATTGCAATGTGCATCTTCATAAAACTGGTTGAAAAATATATCTTTGAAATTCAGTGTGGTATTTGCACATAACAGAAATGGTGATTGTTTGGAATGGACTCGTTAAGAGCATAGTGCTGTGACACATTGCCTTATAAAAGTTAACCAAGTTTAATTTGCAATGAAAGGCAAATTAATTTGATTCAAAGCATTTTATTTTGTGCTTAAATGTCATATCAGTCATTATCCAAATATTAGAGGTTATTTCATAAATGTTTTTGAGATGTTGCAGAGACTCAACAGATGCACTCTGAGGTGGCTTAGCATTTCAGCTGTGAGGCAGCAGCTATCACAGTAATGGGATTTATAATGTGAARTGTAGTGTGAGTTACTGTTTTTGTATCATATGAACTTCTCATCATTTAGTGAACTTGGATTGAGTTTTTCTTGATTTGCTTCAGTTTGCTATGTTATGTATAGGAAGGGGAGCAATAACCTATTTCTGTTGCTTGTCCTTTCAATAATCGCTTAAGTTCATATCATTCCTATGGCYTCCTTCTAGTATAACATGTAGCTGACTTAGTTTAGAACTAGATTTAGATTAATCCTGCTAAAAATCTATTCCAAGTTCTTGGAAAGTTGTAAACCAAGTTCAATGGAAAGCTGTAAACTTRTGAAGCATTGTTTTAATACTCTAAGATTAAAACATTTATTTTTATATTTTGCAGACAAGCTTGACAAAGTTTTCTGATACCTTGCAGGAAATGATCAAATACCACAATGTAAGTAACTTTTTAAGGTAAAACATGATTCTGATAGCTTATGTTGACTCACAAGTTATTTTTGGTAATAGAATAATACTGAAATTTTTCATGCCTATATTATTCGAAAGAGCACTTTAAGTGGTAAATACTTTTAAATTTTTACGTGTGAAATATTTTATTAGGTTTTGTATAAACAAAAGTTATCTTTAAACATCTCCTTCCCTAAAGACCCTCTTACATATTTTTATGTCTGAAAGTTGCGAGCTCAGCTAATATCCGGTGTTGTACTGTAGGACGCAGTACGTTCTTGATAGTTTCACTTTTATAAATGAAATGGATGCTCAGCAGTGATCTCTGAGCATATTTTTTACTAGACCGAAATATAGTGTACACACAGTGTACCTTTTTCCATATGCTTTGCTTTTTTTTTTTTTTTAATTTCCTCTTTTATAATGTGGAAAATGAAGCACCCGATTCCTTTTTTTTATAGTTTGCTTTTTCTGGAGTGTGCCAGATGCAGAGAAGTTCAGAGATATAAGAAGATGGTAGGGCTGAGCCCTAGCCATCCCAGGTTTTGTGGATGAGTTAGACTTTCTGCTTTATGTTTTTTTTCCTCTCTCCCTCCTTCTCTGACTAGCTGAAAGCCAAAATAATATGCCTTTTATTTCCCTCTTCCCTTGGCCCCTACTGCTCTTTCCTAATCCTTTGCTGGAAAGGAACTGGAGCTTCTCTGAGCACGGACTGGATTCTTACCAGTGCAGAGCATGGAGGTTTTTGTACCAGTAGGAATTTAAAATGTAATGAGGGAGAGAACACAGTGTTTCAGTTGAAATGTTTGCTAACATTAACTTAGCTTCCTAAAATTGTCTCACGAGGCTGTTCAAGTGAGTGCTTTTCTAAAGGGTTTAAATGAAACACAGTGTGTTGATGCTGTTAAGTAAGAGTGAAGTGCATAGATTGAATATAATGAAGCTTATGAAGGGGCCAGGAAGTGGGTAGAGATACCTTGATACTGATGGCCAGAAGTGAGTGTGAATATTCAAAGCAGCAGCTGGTTTTTGTAGTGGGAGAACACGTTATTTTTGTGTAGCGATTTCTGTAGGTTGGGTAGAACAGGTGAATTCAGTTGGACGCCACTGACTTTTCAGCCCCTCTCTGTTACGCTTAGCTTGCTCTTGCTGSTTGCTTTATTACCTGTTTGCCTTGCTTTGTGGTATAGACCTCCTGATGTGCCTGACCTGGGTRTTTTGATCTGGCAGTTTGTGTGCTACTTTTGTACATGACTGTGGCTTGCAGTGCTTTAAAGGTGATGTGCTGGAAAGGTTATAGATCTACACAGATTGCAGCCTGGACCATTTTTCTGTCCTTTTAAGAAACATGTATCTAATGGTTTTTTTTTTTTTTTTTTTGTCCTTTTTTTACTCTGAGTGGAATTGCAAGGCTCACATTTCTAGGTGTCCACAAATCTGCAGAGTTCCCATCTGGTCATACTCCCGTTCTGGATGTGGATTGGTGCACTCCTCAGGCACTGGCAAGCTTAAATGTCACTAGTGGGAGTAGCCTCAGCATGGTTTCCACCTTGCTGAGCGTTTTCTCWTTCTATTCTGGTTCTCTCTGTGTGTGGTTGTGGGTTTTTGTTTGGTTTTTTTTTTTTCTTGTGTTTTTCCCAAGTGGGAATGCACACTGCCTCTTGAGGATTTTCCATGTATTACTGTTAGATACAGGATAATTCAGGTTGGAAGGGCCCTTGGGCGATGCCTGCAATAAACAGGGTTGGCTCTGAGGCTGGAGCATGATGCTCAGGCCCTTGTCGTGGTCTCAAAAGCCTCCAAAGATAAGAGGCTGGATGGAGATGGTTCCACCTGGTAACTAGGGAYGTGCTTATAGAAAAGAGAAGCACTGAGCTGTGGAAGGCCTGGCTGTCAGTCCTTGGCACTACGTGCCGTTTTGCTCCCGTAGTTTGTGAGCAAGGAACGGCTACCTGTTAAAGGAGACGTTTGGTCACAGGGTCAGAGCTTGGAGTGTTTGAGGTGCTTTCACCATAAGGTTATGAACCACTTGGATCTTCACCCTTTGGAGGAGATTCTATTGAACTGGACTGAATACTACTTTATATTTTTTAATCTCTTTTTTCCTGGTCACACCTTTTACTTTTGTAATACAACTGGGAGATGTTGAAAAGAGCTTCAGAGGACAGATGTGAAGCTTAAGGAATGTGTAGTGTCATTTGCCAGTTGTAATTTCTGGGGAATAAGAAAAAATGTTAGCACGTGGTCATGTGTGCTTTGGCCTTGGCAACTTAAAGCTTGAGGAAAATTGTTATATGAATGATTATTCCCCCTTTTCTGCCTCCTTCAGCCCTTTTTTTTCTTGTTCTGTATTTTTGCAAGAAATGTACCTCAAGTTAATGTGACTTTTACATATGAACCAAAAAACACATCTTGACATTTAAGTATTTAAATTAGTTTCCTGATCGTCGATTAAACCTTAATTGGCATATATCCAGATCACATCATCACATATCACCTTAAAAAGAGGCAGCTGGTTGTGTTTGGAAGGCAAGACCTGTAACTGAGGGTTAATGGAGGTCAAAGTTAGATTCTAATGGGGAAGCTGTGCAAATAGTTTCTAGTGTGAGATAGTGCTGCTTTGAGCAGACCAGGCTAGAGCTTGACTCACTCCAAAATCATTCACTCAGATCAGGATTACTTTGGTGAAGGAGGGTCCRGGCTACTGTTTTTGTGACTTTGTGTTGGGAATCGTGAGTGTTTATGAACAATCCCTCTTGTGCCAAGAGTGCACCAAGGTGCTGAAACTGATGTTGGTGCAGATGTACCTCGTTCAGAGGTGTTCTGCAAAGGGCTTTAGCTGGCCTAAGGGTGCGGGAAGGCTCTTGCCCTRTTGCTCGCAATACCCTTGTGCTGCCTCTGTCTCAAGGGAGCTCGCATGACTGTTATTTTGGTGTGGGATCAAGTAAAATGACTTGTTTTGTGCTTTCCTGGTTTTTCTGCTTCATGCTTTCTTGTGTACGTATCTATGTGAACGTGGAGCAGGATTACCAGCCTGGTTTTAGTCCAAGACCACTCTTAGTGGTCTTGGTTTTTGTTTTTTATGTTGCTGCACAGTGGATTTCTGGCAAAATTTTTCAAGCAAAATGTTTTTAATCCCAGAAGTGACATATAGTGTGAAAAAGTACTCAGTCTGACACAGAGAATAATTTCAGAAACTGCTGTGTGAGGTCAAGAGCTTTTGAAAAGGTGAGAGAGAGGTTTAGAAAGACATAAAGCATTTAGTGACTCCTAATAACATCCTATGCCTATGTTGAAAATGAAAAGCTATGAATWACCTCAAGTTATTGAGCTAAATGTTAATGCTTTTCTTTCAGATCCTCTTTGACCAAACCCAAAGATCAATTAAAGCACAACTTCAGAGTTTTGTTAAAGAGTAAGTTACTTTTCACTTATGGAGAAATAACTGTTAAAATGTGTTTAAGAAAGAATCTAACTTCTGAGTGGGTTAGTAGAAAATTTTTGAAAATTGCCAGGCATTAATTGAAGGGTGTTTATTACAGCCTGGCCAAAAACTGCCCCACACCAAGGAGGCTGTCGATTCAGCTGAAGAAATGCAGAATTTGAAACAYGATGCGTGGCTGATCTTAAGATTCATATTGGCTTTGTTGAAGTAAAATAAAATAGCACTTAGTGAAATTTTTCCCTGTATTATGAGARATGTTTTTCTAAATATCAGTTTTACCTTTCCTCAGACAAGAGGAAAGTGAGCCTCCCATCCTGCTGCTTTTGATTTGCATCTAATCTGAATATTTGTTAGAGAAGAAACAATGAAGCTGACTGATGATGCTCCTAGCAATGTTCTGCTCACTGCAYCTTTTTCTCCTACACTTTGGAATTAATTAGTCATCCCTTTTTTTATTGTCTTTAGAGATATTAGGAAATTTAAAGATGCCAAGAAGCAATTTGAGAAAGTCAGTGAAGAAAAAGAGAATGCTCTGGTAAAAAATGCCCAAGTGCAAAGAAACAAGCAGCATGAGGTAGAGGAGGCGACTAATATTTTGACTGCTACAAGGAAATGTTTTCGGCACATAGCTCTGGATTATGTTCTTCAGGTGAGTGTTGCATGCAAATAGAGAAGTCTGAATATTTGGATCTAGGGTGCTGATCACTGATGCCTTTTCCGTTTTCTGATTTCTTTTTGTTTAACAAATGTTCTGCTTGCCTGGGAAGCTGGGGGTTTGGCACTGTCTTGAACTTCTGCCGTGGCACGTAGTTCTGGTTCTGCTTTACAATGCAGAACTGCTGTAAGGTGTTGGGAGGTGCTGCTTCAGTGTCCTGCTATAATTTTTCTGTACATTTTCAATTCATGCGTTCCATGGGTTGCATGGCCCTATCTTGCTCTAGTTACCTGTTGCTGTAAATGCCTGTAGCTCAGGCAATTCCTGCCCCTTCTACTTAGTGCATCGATTTATTTCCTGCCAACCCYCCGCTCATAATTGAATTTCAAAGCGGAGCTGATTAGAGCTGTGCACTGGGGACAGACTCGAGGGAAATCTGACATTAGCARAGCACTCTTGGCTTTTACTACTCTGCAGGGCAGTATTTTTCTCTTTGTGCACTGTCCTTAGTGCTCGGCTCTTGCCATGTGCCCTGTGAGGCTTTGGCCAGGGAGGCAGAGCCTGTGCCAGGTGCTGCTGCTGCAGGAGACACTGCTCCCTAGGTGACTCTCTGCTGTTGGAAAGTTGTCTTCACTGCTACAGTCCCCCGGTAGCTCTTCTGGCTTTATTTCTGCTAAATGAGACTATAATTAAAAGCTTTAGGTCCAGAAGACAGCTTTAAATTACAGACTGGAGAGAAGATGATGGTGAGGATAGGATCGAAGGATTACTTGAATGCAAAAAATAGGATCCCTCTTTCTGTTTCATGTGAAAGATTTCAAGTTCAAGGGTCGATGAACTCRGCCAGTTTAAAAGAGCAAGAATATGTGAAATGTTCTCTGAAGATGTTGTGATATTGTTTATTTTATGACTGGGGCTCTATCCCAGTTTGGGGGRTATTTTGACAACGTCAACCTTGGGGCAGGCTATTATATAACATGGTTCTATCCCCTTTCTTAGTGAGGAGGCAGCTGCGGGACTGGGTTGACTCCCGTGGTCAAAAAATTGTTTGAAATATCCATGGAAAAACAGGCATTGAATGTGGTCCCTTCGAGATGGCAATCTAGGAAAAGTTGGTACCTGTGTCTGTTATGTTACTTTTGGAAGACAAGTCATATCTTAATTGTTTTCCCTTCTGTTATAAAGCTTCGTGACTATCATTGGGAAGTGACACCTTTGCAAGGCTTTATCTCTGAAATGAATCACTYATCTTGATGACAAGTTTAGCATGCATTCAATACTACCGTAAAAGGGCTTTTTGTAGTCAGATGTTGAGTTCGGTTCTTCTGGTGTTTTAAGCTTTGAAATGCTTCTATGAAAATAATCTGCTGTTTATTCCCATGAGGGAAAATTCACTTAACTGAATTGAAAGCTTATTTTTCTTTCTTTTTTTTTCCTAGATCAATGTTCTTCAGTCCAAAAGGAGGTCAGAAATCTTAAAGTCGGTAAGATATATTTTTAATTTCTATATAGACAGTATTTTATTAAATCTGAAACAAAATTTTAAAATGTGATTGCAAAGCAGTATGTGCTAAATCAGTTTGTCCTTTCTTCCATGTACATTACCAGTGCTGTTGTCCCTTGGCTGATGGTCACCTTGGCATTTATGATAACTAAATTATTTTTTGGCAGTCCTTTTGGTTCAAATGTGAATGCTTTGCTAAGGCTTTTATTGCATTGAATCTTTGGTATGTGCTTTGATTAAAATTGAAGGTTTTGTTCACCAAAGAGACTTTTCTTTGGRCCTGTGATATTCATTTATAAACAACAAGCACCTTTTACAATATCTTTTTAAGACAGATTCAGCCTTTTCTCTCAAATGACATTCTTCATATAGCAGCTGATTCAGCTAATATGCAGTATGCCTGTAGCTGCATGTGTTGGATTAATATACAGCTACAGCTGCATGCTTGTTTTCTCCTTATTATACCTCTTTCTGCTCCTGCAGATCATCTCTGTAAAAGGTGAAAACTTCAGATTACAGCCTCATAGCTGTTTACCTTTGTGCTCTCTATTGTCCCAACTTAGTAGTAATATTCTTTTTTTTTTTTGAATGTCAGTTCTTATGTCTTTATAGATGTTGTGATTTTGGATCATTAGTTAAGAAATTCTGTACCCTCTCTAATTACGTGTTAAGCACGTGTTAATTACGTGTTAATTACGTGTTAAGCAGGAGTTTTTAAAGTTGTAAAATTTTAGATAACATAAATTGGAAGCCATTATCTTCCCTTAATAAAATTTTTGTTTCAGTTGATAGCGGTAATCTTGTTAACTAATTTCTGAGATTTTTTGATTCTGCTTTTTGCTGCCTTAAACTTGCATGCTTATTTATGCTGCTCAAAACTGTACAATGAATGGATATAAAATTACAAGGATAAAAAAGTAGCAATCTTACCCTGTAYATTAAGTTTATTCATGTGAATTAATTGAACCTCTTATATCTGATAAATATTATRATTTTTCTTTTTTCTTCTTCCTTCTAGATGTTATCATTTATGTATGCTCACCTGGCTTTTTTCCATCAAGGCTACGATCACTTCAGTGAGCTTAGGCCCTACATGAAAGATCTTGGTGCACAGGTAATGAAAGTTGTATTATAAGCTCATAAACATATACTGATATGAAAGAACTTGATGTGTGGACACGTACCAGGTGTCTTGTAGTCTTGTTTGWCAAAAGAAGCAAGTCTACAGTGTGGCAAAGATAGAGGCAAAGCATAAAAATACTGTTTTCCTTTACAACTCTGTAAACTTGGGGGCTTTGTGATAGATTACCATGAATAGAGTGACCCCAGCTAACTGTGCTTGGGAAGTATTGAAAGTAGTTGTACCAACTGGATTAAGAGCATATGGTGTGCATCTGAAGGTTTGTCTGTGGTGCCAAAAAAGAAGACTGAAAGCTGTGTAACTTGACTTGTTTTCCACAGAAACTGAATGGGGTGGAGATAATAGGGTTTTGTTTGTTTTTGTTTTGTTTTTGCCTCTATCCAAGCTTTTCGAACAGCTGCCCTGATACAAACCCCTTTGTTCATCCCACTTCCCAGCTGAAGATACTGAGCCAAGCCATTGCTAGTCCCTAATCTTAATCTGTCTGTGTGTATCCAGAAGCAAACTGGTTACAGCAAACATTTTTATTCATCTCAAAAGATGCATCTCAGTGTCTGTGAAATTACCTTGTTTGTTTGGGGCTGACTTTAAATAGTTCCTGGTCCTGACTCTTCCTTCCTGCTGCTGTGCCGTTGTCGCCTGTGCACATCAACCTGTTTGGCTGGGCAGTGAACTAGACTGGCAACCGTAAAAATACCTTTCTAGACATCTAATTCTGTGAGTTATTTTTCTGCTAGGTTAATTCTTTAATCTGTAGTTCACAACGTGTCTTAAATACTTGTGGAGACACAAGCCTGGCAGGTGTACATGCGTCYGTGTGCACACATACACGAGCTGCCTCTCTCCGCAGGGAGAGAAGTGCCCCTGACGTAGAGCCCCCAGGGTGCTGTGCAGYGGTAGTGCTAGCTTCGGGTATGCACCACCCTTTCCTTAGTTGTTGTTTCTCTTATTTATTTGTTTTTACTTCCTCCCATTTTAAATAGTAATTGTTAAACTGTAGTGTTTGACATGCAATATAKGTAGAGCTAGTGAGAGAAGCAGACTAAAACTGTGTGATTGGTGTTGCACGCATCCAGCTTGGTTTTCATGTTTGCTTTTCAGTGAGAGCAGAGTTAGGAGCCTAGGGCTCTTTTGGAATGGCTGGTCATCCTTTTGCTTGGTCTGTGAAGGAATGTTGTGTAACATTCAGTTTGGTGCTGGTATCATAGCAACCAAGGAGTTAAATTTAGAAAATCTGAAGCTGAGAATGTTTAGAACATATTGCAAACCTGAGGATCCCCAAGTTGTACAACATGCTGAGTTATTTCCCCCTATTTTKCCATTAACTTTTGAATAATGGTTATGTTTCGGTGGAGAAGGAGACTCGTGAAAAATTAATTTAACAGTTTTATGATCTGTATTGATTCACATTTCTGTCTRTAAAAGTCAGAGAGAAGATGTGTGTTGATGTAAAAAAATAGGCAGGGCTTCATTAATGTTTGTTTTTTCCTGAAAATACCATTAGWTTCTTTCTGTTGGTAAGTGAATTCTCATTCCCAACTGAACTGATCAGTATGTGACTAAATAGAAGGTTTAATAGCATCTGAAATATTAAAAATAAGGCAACTTTAAGTGGTATGACTGCATAATCTTTCATTCTTATGTTCCACACTTCAAGAATACTGTCTGGTTTGAGCATTTTCAAAATACTGACGGAATAGGTTTGAGCAGTTTTTATTTTCTAAATATCACAGATTTGTTTAGGATTGTTCATGTTACTTAAATACAAAGTCTATTTGAATTTTCATTCTGCAATAAAGTTGAAACAGCCACATATTTTAGTCTGATTTATTTGTGGATAGAATACTACCTATAGGGACAAGGTTTACATAGAATATCCTTACTACTAAACGCAGCATTTTAGGAAAAATCTCTACAATAATATAGCAACTTAGACTTTAATAGTTGGGTCTCACTGGTGGCCACAGTTCTGGGAAGAGTCTGTGGTGCTGGTCTGGCTTTTCTTGAAGAAAACTGGTGCTATTTTGCTGATCTTAATAAAAGTGAAAATTCAGGTCTGTGCTTGAGACCTGGGAATGATGTGAGGTTGGATTGATGATTCACAGGTTAACAAGCAGGTTAACAAGTAGGGCTGTAGTAGGTCTTTCTTGTGTGTTTAAATATATATAAAACGTGTATGTTTGTATCCACATGTACATATGATGCATAATGCTGCAGTTTTTCCCTAGTTGTTGTCTCAAGGGTCACCAGGCACGATTATGAAAGGCACGAGAAAAGGCTTTGGTTCCTTGGGAAGCTCTTTCGCTCTTTATAAGAAAGATGCAGCTAAAGGCTTTGTTTTTATTATGTCTATTAGTGGCAAATGCTGCCTTAAACACTTTCATACTGAAATAGGCTACAACTGATGGCCCTAATCTGAATATTCTCTGTTACATCTGAGCAGGGCAGAATGGGGGGGAACTTGTTGGAGACCGTGTCTAGGTCTCTCAGTCTGAGCATGCTTCCGTGAGAGCCCTGTACCCTCCTGCACGGCCCTGGGGCCYGTTCTCATCTCAGGTGTAAAGCAGCAGGGTTCTCGGGGTCCTGGGAGCACCGTGACAGCCCCGTCTCTGTTTAGAGGATCCGATATCCTCTGCTTCGTGTAGCTCTGCATTTTTCACGCCCTGACACTTCAGTCTTTCTCATGTTCGTGCTCACAAAATACCTGTAAGACGTGAATTTGGTCATGCAGCTTTTTGAGGCAGATAGTAAAAGAGAGAGGAGACTTACTGGAATAACCAGAGCATGGAATTGGATCCAGATGTCCCAGCTATCTGACAGTTGCCGAACTGTTGGTCTGTCCAATGTGACAGTGTCGGAGCTATTTATTGTCCTTGTTCTTTCTTGTTGGCATCAGTGCAAGGGGGGAAAATGTGACACKGGGAAATGAACCGAGTTGGCTGAGCTGCTCACTTGTGGTTCAGAGGGTGGGTGGAGGCTCTCCTTTTAGTGTGTAAATTGGGGCTTGGATTAGTCATGCAGTGCCCTTTGCCATATGACTGATGCTGGAAAAGGGGAGCTGTGCGCTGTCCGTAACCTCCCAGACCCGRCTCTGGAGCAAGACCGGGCATAAAGTGGTGTGGGCTGTGCCCCGTGCTCGGCCAAGTCATCATCTCTGCCCGTTTGCATCCTTTCTCAGCAAGATGCCAGGCCTGGGGTTAATGGAAGTTGTGTGTTACAGTTGGGGTAGGGTAAGGGAAAAATTCACTAGTTTTTCTAGCACRGCTTGTTATGTAACTTGCTGTGTAACTAGTTGGCCTTACAGGCAGCTTCTGCTCTTCTGTTTTGCTSTTTCTTATTAAGACATGTTCTTACATCAAAATCTGTACAAAATAATTTACTCAAAGGATATAATAATTTCTTGCCCTTCCTGTGCCTTTCAGGCTCACAAAGAGGAGGAAAAAAATAGATTGTTTTAGGTATGTTTGTAGCAAGTGTTTGGTAATATTCATTTTATTGTTCCAGACTTCTTAAGGATATCTAATTTGATAAAATCTCTGTTSTGACAGTCCCTTTTGTTTTTTCTTTGCAAATTTAGTGTTGTATTTTTGAAACTAGAAATAGTCTGAATGGCTCCAAGGGGCTAAGGAATCTTGCTCGAGTATTGTGAACAAGCTCCAGGCAATTACCAAGATAAAAGCCTAAACTGGGGCRATTCTGTGCTCCGAGGAGGGGGGAAAAAATCACCAGCATCTCCTCTTTCTAGTTTGTGCAGCTCCTGCCAGTGCTGCTGCATCGGGCAGCCAGCAAGAGCCTCTAGCGCATGAGTCATGCGCTCCAGAGCGGAGCACCAGTGCGGCAGCGCTGGGAAACCTGTCTCCAGGCTTGGGAGAAAGGGCCACCTTCCGTGGAGGTTAATTCAGGATGCTAGTGCAGAGCTTTAGCTGAGGTGGTTGTTAAAGGTAAACGCTTTGTGGTCACAGAAGTGGTAGTTTAGAATGTGAATAAAGCARAAGTCAGGCAATGTCTGGATGGAATGTATTCATTTGTCAGCATTATGAAATCTACAGAGCCAAATTTCTCTTAAACTAAAGATCCAATTTTCTGTTTCTCTTTACAGCTGGATCAGTTGGCTGTAGATGCTGCAAAGGAGAAGAGAGATATGGAGCAAAAACACTCCACTATTCAGCAAAAGGTACTCGAGAGAATATAAAACATGGATTGCACTCCCATTTTTGTTTATCTTTTTTGGCATCTCTCTCTTCAATGGCACAGTGTTCAATCTCTGCATTGCAACTGCAAGGGAGAATATTTTAAAGCACAGGGAAATAGCSTTACAGATCATTAAACATAGGCTTGGGTTGCAGATAATGCCTTTTGTGCCATGGAATACAATATTACCTTGCTGTCTAAACTGAACATAAAACAGCAGAGTTTATTTCAATGCTGGGACATCTAAGCATTTCATTAAAACTCTAATTTCAATGTCAGCTTGGATTCAGTGTAGTTGTAAAAGTTGTCATCACTTCCTCCTATAGATCCTGTAGAAGAGGTATGTGCATGGCACAGTCCTACAGGCCTATATGTTTATTTGTCTTCAGGACTATACCAAATGTGAGTTAGATGCTTTGATGYACAAAGTGGTGGTTGTTACGGTGCATAAAGAGCAAAAGTTAACTTCTGTAGAGATTGTCTCATCTATAATGTTCAGTTGTATGCAAATATGCAAAGCGATAACATTAAATTGCTATTTTGGGCAGACTTGTGCTTTTTGTTGTTTGTTTGGGGGAAAATGTAGATACTTCAGATTTTTGGTGGGAGGGGAATGACTTCTGTTGCTTGGATGTTTCGGAAGCTCTAGATCAGTATTGATTTTGCAGGTGTATTTCTAGAAGTTAAAAATATTTCCACTGAACTCTCCGATAGTGAGCTAATACTTCAGGTACTTATGAAAGGGATTAGATACCAGTTTAAAGGTAATGCAACACTTCTTACTCTCATTCAAATACATTTTTTGTGATCTATTCAGGTGTCACAAATTCAGAAAAAAATTTAATGTAAATGAAATCTGATGGATAAATTAAAAATTCACTAGTGAGAACATGTTGTAAATAGAATGATTTAGGTAACCTTAGGAGGAATCAATATATATTTTAGTGGACCGGAAGCTAATGCTGCTTCTGCCACTGTTGGTTGCCGGATACTTTTCTCTTGTATCTCTCCACAGCAGTCGGTGGGAAGTGTTAGGGTTGCCTTTGCAGTGCAGCTGGGCAGACACGGCAGTTGGTTTYGGTGCTGCTGTGCTGCATGTGCAGGCAGATGCAGGATAAAGAAAGGAGTATGGGGAAACAGGTAGAAATAGAGTTAAATTTGGATGTTCAAGACTAGACTAGTCAAGTACTGACTAAGTTTGTCACACACCTAAATAATCTCGGTTTTAGGTGTGGGCAGTAGTTATGGGCTGCTATTGGAGGCAGGTAGTGTGTGGGGAAAGATGTGGGTATTGGGCAGTGCATTTCTAATCGACTGTAGAGATCAGAARTTGTTTCCATGACTTAGGCTTATTCCTACATCCAATGGTATTTACATTTGTGTTTTTTATGTTGTTGTTTTTTTCTCTTTAATGCTGCTTAAGGCTGCTTTGCAGGTAAACTATTTCTAACTATATCAAGTTACTGAAAATCTAGTGAAACTTGAAAATTGATCAGCTATGTATGATGTATTTTTTTATTGCTTCTGACACAAACACAGAACAAACAGACCAATTCATAATCTTATTTTAATTGAACAATCACTTTACACTGTCTCCAAAGTAAAATCAGGACATTAGGATGGTGTTGTATATTGTCCTCAAGTTCTGTGTTTCAGGTCAAACATGTTTAGGATATCTCCTGTCCTTATTAGGCAAATTATTCAGGTGTTTTTGTGATGAGAATGCAAATTTGTGTATCTAGCCTTTGGAAAAAGACATGCTTTAGCTATACCTTCTAAAATCATTTGCCCGGTTTCTCATTCAAATCGTCTTTATTTGAATTCTTACATTCTTGGTGGCACCTCCCTGCTTTTCCCAGGACCCAAGTATGTTTCTATCCCATAAGGACTTCCTAATCCTCAACTGGCTTAGACCATGGATCTCGTTCCTTAGTGGTGTTCGTTATCCAGTCAATCTCACCAGGATGATAGTCTGGTTTTCAGGCTACTGTCGCTTCAGACTACTGTTGTCTGCTGCTTTGTACCGTGCTGCCCCTTAGGCGCGTTTCCAGATCTCCCAGTGCCAAATTCTTACATCTCTAACTACTACGAAAGTACCTGCTTCTTGAGTTGCTCATATTCCATGAAGTATGTATGTGCTTGATACATTTAATTSGTTTTAGTCTGATGCCTTGGAATGATGCCTTTTCTCCTCCTCCTTGTAGAGAGCAAGCAGTCTCCGTTCAGAAACTTCTGTCTATAAGTGTGTATGGGCACACACCTATTGACTCTACTGTCATTTACCTAYGTTTGCATACGTGCATATTCATGCAGAAAGCAGTAATTAAATAACTCATCAGATTTTTTTCTTATTTTCAGCTTCCCCTCTAATTTGACTGTTGTCAGAGATGCTGATGTAAATGTCCTAGAAGGGCTGGGCTGACAGTAGAGTTTGATTTCTCAAGAGATTTGATGTCTGTTCTTTTTAACTTTTGGCTGCGCTCTATTTGCTTAGCTACTCTGGAAGAAATGACTTGTAAAGTATGAAGTTTGACTCATTAGTTTGCAGCAACACATACTGTGGCTTAACCTAGAGAGATCTACAATGGATTTTTTTGTGAGGAAGGATGCTTATCAGAAGGATGGTGAGAAAGTGTTGTCAGTAAYGTGGAAGACTGTTGATGATTCTTGTCTCCAGAGTCGTTTCGTGCAGCCTATTACTGTAGAAATAGGTTAAATTATGAAATAACTGAAAAATCACTTAAACTTGTCAACAGCACAGTGGTTGTTGTGACATAGCTAATAATTCCAAACACAGCGAAATTACATAGAAAGAACATTCATTGTACCGTTTTCATAGTAGTCAAACAGCTCTTTCATGCAAAAAATGGAGGAGAAAAGTCTGCCTTTCTAAACAAGTGTTCAGGAAACAGCTGGAGTGAGGATGAYTTGAGAACTGTAACATCTTGCCTGCAAGAGCTGATAGCAAACCAGATGCTCCACAGTCATGAAGCARCCGTAAACCAGAACTGCAGTTGGGGAGAAAAGCAAACCTTATTGCTGTCACCAAAAATAAAAATATATTTCAAATGCCCTCTGTGCTTAGTAATTATCTTCTTGAACTTGATCTTGGACTGTAAACTTTGTTTCTTCTTGTAGGTTTGTTGTTTTGAGCTTTTCCTCAAGAGCATTCAAACCAAGTGTAATAAACATCTCTTGCTTTGCTTATGCTATGGCATGGGAATGCAAGTAAGCACTTAAAAGGCCGCGGGAGGCAGGGGGTGTTGCCAAACATATTTTTTTTTTCTTTGTGGTATGCAGTGACTTTTCAGTGTATTTTGTGGGGGTGATGGGAGGACTTTTTTGTGTCTGATTGTTTCGTTTCCCCCACTATCTGCCTTTCGCAAAGATTTGAAATTCAGCTTCTTTAAAATAGAGAAAAATGTCTTTATGGACAAATTCAGCGGATTCAGTAAATTGCCTGGAATTTAGGGTGCAGATACTGACATTCCTAGTGATGGACTGCTAAAATGGCTGAAATTGAAGCCTTTGACCTTTTAGTAGTCTTCATATTAGAAAGGAACCTGAAGCTCTGYTGCTGAATAGGGGTTTTTGCTTTGGAAATGAAAGAAAACACACTATGAAATAAATCCGGTCTGTGTGATAAAGTGAAATTCATATGCAAATGTGTCACTCAAACATGTCAAGGTGTGAGGATTGTAACCAAATAAATAAATATTAAATGCATAAATGAAGGTTGTCCTGGATTCCTATCACAGATTGAACAAAGGAGCAGAAGAGGGCACTGTGCCTCTCGCCTGCATGAGCTGCTTTGGATATGTATTTCKTTTCCAGTACCTGGCAAATACTTAAAAATGATCATTGGAGTACAAACCACAGACCTTCCTTGCTTTAAAACTGAGCACACGTGGAATGCAGCACTTTAGTGTCGTTTTCATAACATTATTTTTTGGTACTATGGTCCTAACTGACACCTAGTTAGATAACAAAATGCAGGCTTTTCCAACTGGACGTTGGCTTTAGGAATGTTAAATGGTGAATCACACAAAGTGACTGGACTGTTAGCATGTGATTCTCCTAGGCAGGATGCTGGAAAGATAGGGATGTGTTTCTCCCCACACCCTGGTTATTTTCATAATCCATTAAACTTTTCCRTGAGCAAGGATAAAAATAAGTGTTATAATGTGACTGCTTTCCCCATATTCTTTAACTATGAARTAAACTAGATTATCAATCAGACATGGTTTATCTAACTCTTTTCCTGCTCTTACYCTTTCAATTAAAA